AGAATAAAAATATTGTTGTGTATCAATAAGAATTCCAGATGTAATAAGATTTCTGATAGCCTATCAAAATTTCTACAATTTTTTTATTGTTTTATTAATGTAATACCTAAAATCATTTAAACGCTTCGTTATTGTTTTTATTCAAGGGCTCGTGCAACCTTAATAGTCCCGCGTAGCAATTAAACTCAAATGATTAAGAAAACCTATTAATTCTATTCTTTTTTAAATAAAATTGCATGCTCACTTGGTTTTATTCTGTTCATCCTTATATTTACTCGAATAAAAGCCGACGATCTTGTCCGGTTGCAGCGCCCCGTTGAACTCGAGGCTGAGATTGTACAAACCGGCGTGAAGCTCGTTTTTGGTCGGCACCACGAACATTTCATACTTCGGTATTTGTATAAGTTCGAGCAGGTCGAACTCAAAGTTCTCCTCGCGGTCGTACGTGTTCAACGCGGCCGCGGTGATGTTCAGATCCTTTTGATGAAGCGCTATGTAACTCCGTTTGTCGGCGACATCGATCAGAATCGTCACTTTACCTTGGAACGTCCCTTTTTCCAGGTCCGGGTGCAGGTAGACGTCGTAATGAAGCGGTTTAACCTCCTTCGGCAGTCGAAACGACAAATCGGGAACCAGTCCAGGAGTCATGCTTACTTGAGCTGCAAAAGAATTGAATTTATCTAAAAAAAATCGTTTCATTGGAAATTTTTACTTAATAAATAAGTAATCGATAAAATCATCGGAAATTCGTTTCAATGAAAATATTTATTACATACAGATAATCGACAAATCTAATAAGTTAGTTTTATCTTATTTGAAACACTTGAGACAATGTACAGTGATTATTAAATTTGTTTTTAAAAATTGTAGAATGTTCTTGAAATTATGAAACTGTCTACGTATTATGAGCGATTGTAAATAAATGTTCCCATCGTACTGATAAAGCGTAATCCGATAAGAGAAGAAAGATACCAGTGTACAATTGACGGCACATGAGCTTGCGACGGAAACCGGTCACAAAAAATGTACTGCGCTGTGTAAACGCGCAGAATTTCAATCCCAACGCCATTTGCGCGTTACAGAATTAATTGTATTTTCGGAGCGTCATACCACGGGAACTAGTTGGCTAAGGCGAATTTATAATTGTCTTTTCCAACCGTGAGGCGCTTACAAATGTCCGCCGCACGTAATCCGCTAAATTTAAATCATTGACGATATCTGAAAATTGTGATAAGAGATTTGACCGCGATGGAGGTAAAAAAAAAAAGAATGTCAACTGCAGTTCAGACCAGAGATGAATAGGGAGATTGTCAATGGTAGCGAGAGACATGGACGCGTTGCAATAATCTCCGAATATATTGCTACCGATCGGAACCGGGTTTGGTCCGAAGGAATCGACTTTTCCTAGTTGTTCAAGCACACATAAAACTCGAGACGTTGTCTCTGTTTCGAAGAAGAGATGGGGATGACTCGTGGCCATATATCCGGAGATTACTGTATATTCTTCAAAAATTATGTACGCTCTCGCTCTCACTATCATTAATCCCTTCAAAATATGTTTCATATTATATATATTTATTATAATTTCATAATATTTCATTCTGATACATAGAATTCGATTAAAAACTTGCGAGCACGCTAACGGAGATGAAATTTTGTATTTGCCGCCGTATTCGGCTCGACTATCATGACATATCCGTTTTGCTCCGCAGAAGCGATAGTACACGGCGGTACGACGAACGGTAACTTACAGTTCTGAAAGCTGGCGGCCTCGACTCTATGATCGATAAGCACTAGCAACGTAGTTAGACACGTGCAGATCAGGCTCAGAATGCAACAGAGGCTGCAGGTGAAGCAGAGAATTCCGGTACTGATATTACGATGCGGCTGCACCTGCGTTCTCGTTCCAGTCAGCGTAGTCGGCCGATTTCCAGCGCCACCGGAATTTCGTTTTGCCGTCTTCGACTTCATTTAAAGCGCCTGCGTCACCTACAGAATCCAAAATTTTATCTGGAAATCACGCGAGACTCGCCTTTATATCTCGTTCGTTATCGTCAAATAAGATCGTTAAAAGATTATTCCGATTACCGCTTGATAATTCAAATCGAATTCGGAACAGAGAAATTCAAGCGAGAAGATCAAGCGGCAGATTTAAATTTCAAATGCGAGATCATCGTGGCATTGTTTTTAAATTCAGTTTAAAGATGAAATCTCTTGTGTCGCCTTGAAGTAAATACGCGAATCTTTCTCATCGTTTTCGCAGTCACGCCCTTAAAATTATTTATTCTTATTCTCGCTCGAGTTCTTTATCGTTTCCTTGCTAACATTTACCGAAATATCGTCACTTTCTTGTACTCCGCGCAAATATTGGAATTGCAACAATTGCAAGGCCCAGACGTGCAACAGGATATCGATACGCAACGTTATGTCGTCATATGGCGAAATGCACAGACGAAGCTGAACGGACGCGAGCACCACTGACACAACTAGAACTGTCGACACTTGATTGAGAGTTCACTACGGTTGCTAAACTTGTTTTTCTTCTCCTTTGTCTACTTCCGAGCGGCAGAGACTCGACAAATTGAATAATAATCGTTCAGATGTAAATTGAATGAAACGAACAACGAATGTATTTGACAGAACGTTAATCACATCGTGCCCTCTTCTCTAAGACTCCGTCCTCTTTCTAATCACGATAATTATTTCATTAGTTATTGCTGGACGCTATCGAAAGCAGGATCTTAAATCGTGATTGAAAGTGTCTGCTTATCACGAGTGAGATAACCTCGTGCTTCGCTGGCAATTTTTATTTAACCGAAGATGTTCAGAAGTCGACGCGAGGCGGTGGACTGAATTTGTTGAAAGTCTGAAACTGCGACTGCGATCGTGTTATACAAATCAAGCAGAACTTTCGAAAGTTAGCGCTAGAGAGAATACTAATTAGAATTTCATACTTTTTATAGGAGTAAATAAAATAAATCTTACAATGTCCCATATTATTTAAATGTCACTTAACCATCTCTCAAAATCATATAATTAACATAGTTCATTTCAGTTAACTTTATTTAGAATTCTAATATTGTTAACTTATAAATAAAGTAGAACAAAAGGACTAAAATATTAGATTTTCTTTTTTTATAAAATAATTTATGCATCAGTTACTAAAGGAGTTACTTGTTTTCTTGTCATGACTTCGTCATACTGAATTTTAAGTCTTTATACTGCTCCTCATTTTACTTTTCACATTAATTTTCATCGATATTTACGAACAAAGACGTGTAGTTGAACTTTAATTAACAATACAGCAATTAAGCCATGCAGCTCCTTTGATTCTTTCCGAACGCCTTCACCTTGACGAAGACTAACAGTCCACTCGAATAATTGTTCACTCAGAATTAATTTCAATAATCACTCGCCTGATAAACAGCTTCGAGCTCTTCCTCGTTTAATCGAATAAATTTCGCCCTCCTCCTTTCACTATAGAACGCAGACTGTGACGAGCGGCTCAACCGCGGTCAGGTCTTGCCCCTAATTAAAATCGACGTCGACACCCGTTTAATTAGGCTGAATTGCAGATCGAGTTGAGCAGAAACCTGCGACCTTGTTCGCCTTACTATTTATGAAATGACCGCTCAGAATACGTTTTACGAAGAACGCTCGTTCTTAAATATTTGTCCTGTAAGAGTCGTTATTCTGATTAGATACAAATATTTAGGTCCGTTTGTCCAACGAGCTGTTCAGAATTTACTTTCCAGATTCGGAATACCAAACTGAATTTTCTGTGTCTTCTTTACGACTTGTTTGCCATTAAACATTTGTTCGGAATCACTTTTTCCACCTTCGACGGTGGAACCGTTCACGTTTTTTTCATTCATCTGCCCAGCTCTGTTGTTTGTCAACCTAACGGACTCGCGAAGAGTAAATTTCATGCAAATCGCGGCGAGGGAAATAAAAGTTACTGACACATAATCGTGGAAATATTCTTAAACAAAATCTTCCGAGCGAGTGAAACCGACGCGTTTCCTGCTGGAGTTGCACAAGAGCCTATCAACGTAGGAACGGAACAGTTGGGGAGAAAAGAGAAGACGCGTTCTTTATTCTGTTTTACATAATATTTAAATAAACGGTTACAAATAATATAATGCATGTACCGTATAAATACACTAGATAAGGGAGAAACAATTTTCAACAGATCCATATGTACAACAGCCCTCTGCGCACGCTGTGATCGTACGTTTGGGAAAAAGCTTGCAAACTGTTTCTGTATTACGCGAATAAATATGTACATACATCGTTTATCTCCCTGGCACCATTCCATGGTTTCCATCTCATATATGTCGTTTTCGAACGTTCCAGGGTCGTCTAAAATATCGATGCTAATTCTGTGATCACTACGAGGATAACTCTTGTTGTGTCACAGGAATCCACGTGAACGCAAAATGATTGATTGGAACTTGTCGAACGAACGATGTGACACTCCTTAATTTTCAAGAATATTTCACGTTGCAGATGAGATCTTTTTGATGAAAAATTATTAAATGGACGTCTGCGACAAGACGGTTTTTAAGAAGTCAGCGTTTATTAAGGCAAAATCCTCGATGTCGGATTGTCACAGTTTGTCATCGTCGTTTCTCTATAGAGAAACGTTTATTCTCAGTATCAATCTACCCACGAGCTAAATTGTACGTTTTACTATTATTTCTTAATTGACAGCTGATTAATATAGGATGACATCGTGAGCGACGCGGGTCTGATCCTCTTGGTAATTTTTTTTTGGCGGAAGACGAACGAAGAAAAATCAGACCCGAGTCCTTCATATTAATTTATCCAGTATTCGCCATTGGTCGATCTTTCGTCCTCATTGGAATCACCTGTTGTCCTTTATTGTGCTCGTTGCGTTTAATTTTAATATTTTAGTAACTGTATTTATAGTTAGCAAGATTATATACTCGGCAATAATTCACTATTATTGAAAGATATTATATAAAATCTTGTACGAGAGATTGTATAAGAGGTTTTATATATAAACTGGAACTAGGCGTTAGCTGCAAAATGTCCACGAATGGCCCGTTTAATAATTAATTCTCCTTCGATTATTACAAACTAATTGTCGTTGGATAATCATTTAACTTTGTGAAACGTGCATTTTTAGGAAAAGCATGTCTACGATTCTAAATTGGATATGCATCTTGTTTTAATATGGAGTAGTAATTAACATTTAGAGACGAACACGAAAAGAGGTCGTCGGTCAATCCCAGAGTAAAACTAGTATTTCATTTGTGCCTTTCCGTTCCGCGTTATAACATTATTGTACGAGGAATATTGATTATTACTGACGTTGCGAACGATCGATCAAATCGAGCGAACGTTGGTTTTTGGTGGTCCAGGCTGATCCCCTGTTTATTCGATCTTGTTGATGATTTCAACTTCATTTACTTCGTCGGCTTTCATGTCTTTGTCGCCCCAGCCCCATCTCGCTTCCTCGATATTGTGATGATCCCACGTACCATCCCCGGTCCTGCCCGACCGTTTCTTGATAACATCGGTGGGAACGGTTTTCATATCGTACGCCAATCCGAATCGAGCACACGTATCGAGGAACAATGTGGTCCAGTTCATTTTGTAGAAGCCCAATTCACCCGCTTTATAATCCCATGGGAACACGTGGTGGTAGTTGTGCCATCCCTCCCCCGCTGTTAGTATAGCGACCCACTTGTTCTCCACGGGGCTGATGCTCCTGGGGAAACAATACCAAATTCCAATTTTTATCTTACAACCTAGAAGAACGATATAAAGAGAGAAATGGGATTACTTACTTGTCGTAAGGCTTCATTCCCCAGATGTGCGCGGCCGAGTTTACTAGCCACGTAAAGTTCAAGCTTATAGCGTATCTCATCATGGTTACGTACCAAGAATTGAGCGGCTTCTCGTTCCAGAAGTAACAAGGCACCCACATCGGTATGATAAAAGTGCACAGCGGCATCAAGAGCAGATACAATCTGGAAATGAAGCGATAATTCCAAAAATGAGATGCTGCTGATAACTTCAACGTTAAACGATAATCTCTAAAATGAAATTATAAAAATATTAGGACTTCTGGTTCTTGAACAAAAATTATGTATGTATAGGACGTTTGCAGGTCCATCTACGAACTAACAATACCATAATATGCTCTTACTTTCTCTACTTATTTTAATAGTAAGACAAATGTAAAAATCAGATGGAACATCCTGTATATTAAAACGTATATGTGATATTTAGAATGTATATTTGCTCGTTCACCTCTTTTGCCAAACGACGATTGGATCATTTTCCAAATCACTCATGTCGACAGTCTTGCCTTTGTTCATCACGTCCGGATGCTTTCGGACGAGTAACCAGCCCATGTGGGAGAAGAAGAATCCTCGTTTCGCGTTGTGAGGGTCAGCGTCAGTGTCCGTGAACTTGTGATGCACTCTATGATCTCTTACCCACTCGTAGATGTGATTCTAATAATCGGGGATAACGTGAAAGCAACGGTGAATTGCAAAGGCCGCGAGCGTTGAAAGCTGGTACTCACTTGGAAGGCAATCGTTTGGCAGATCATCAGGAAGAACCGTAACGGCCACCTCGCCTTGTACGCTCTATGGGCCCACAATCTGTGGGCTCCAGCTGTGATGCCCAACGCGGATATTACCATTATAGCCATCGCTAAAAAATATTTTAGTCAATATGAGTAATGACTTTAGAGAAATTATTACATCCATGTGCTTAGATGTTAACATTCTTAACACCCGTCGGAATTTAACAATTGCTATGAGAACTTCACTCAATTTAATTAATTTATTTATTGTTAATCTATCAACGTAGGAACGGAACAGTTGGGGAGAAAAGAGAAGACGCGTTCTTTATTCTGTTTTACATAATATTTAAATAAACGGTTACAAATAATATAATGCATGTACCGTATAAATACACTAGATAAGGGAGAAACAATTTTCAACAGATCCATATGTACAACAGCCCTCTGCGCACGCTGTGATCGTACGTTTGGGAAAAAGCTT